CCCGGAGTCATCTGCTGTACCAGGCCTGTAGCCTGTCAGACCCTTTTTGTCCTGTTTTTTTCCACATTGAATTCTCCCCATTAACTTCACTCATCGCAAAAGGGACATTTTTGAGTCTATGCCTTTCGTCAAAAATTTCCCTATACCAGAAACGCAACAGTCCCAAGATTGACCCCTGTGGAACCCCGTCGTCACATGTGCCCATCCGACCCTCGTCAATACATGACTCATGTTGCCTTCCTGTCAAGATTCTCTGATCTTTGCAGTGTTTCCCCCGTTATACCTGCCCCAAACCTGAAGCTTTTGCACTTTATCTCTTTTGTGGAACTTAGTCAAAAGCCTTCTTACACTCCAAGGAAACGCAGTTAACTTGATCAAGAAAAACGAATGACCGATTGCAAACAAACCCCTACCCCGCCGGGGTTGAACCCGCGGTCAAGGTCCAAAACCCAGCCCCGTGCGTTAGCCCTAAAACCCGCTAGCCCCAATAAAATTCATCCAACTATATATTTCTAACCATAGGGAAAAATTTCACAGGCACCATGTACCACAAATGCAAGTTTTTACGACGAATCCCGTAGCGTGGCCTGACGAACTCTGCTCAAGTCCCTTTATGCCTCACAGTCTCAAGAAATGGGGGGGTATGGTTGTTTGCAATCGGTCATTACATTTCTTGATCATGTTGAAGGCAGTGAAGGACTTGAGTAGAGTTCGTCACGGCCAGCGCTGAGATTCGTCTTAAAAACTTTCATTTGTGGGCACAGTGGTGGTCAACCCCTTGGGTAGAAATAACCCATTGGATGAATCTTTTTGTGGTATGGTCAGTGGCTAACGCGACGGGGTGGAGTTTTGGGACTCTATGATCGGGGTTTAATCCGGCCGGGGTTGGTTTTAAACGCAATCTACCCACCCCTCTCTCTCTTGTATTATTGCTGTCACAGTGTCATGGAACTCCAGTAGGTCTGTGATACAAGGATTTACCTTCCCTGAATCCGTGTTGGTTGTCGTTGATAAGCTCATTCCTTTCTAGGTGGTCCACCACCCTTCTCCTGATAATCTTGTCCATGACTTCGTATACTATGAATGTCATTGACACTGATCTGTAGTTTAAGGGCGGTTGCTCTCTAATTAGCGCACGGTCTCTCTTTTAAAAAACTGTTACTACATTTGCTGTCTTCCCTAACTCAGAAAGTCGCCCTGTTTCGTTGTGTTAAAGACTATTGTTAGTGGTACACAGAGCGTCTCTGCTCAGGACCCATGGAAAGGTTATTGCCTTTGAGATATCTAGTTCGATTAGCAGCTATTCACCTTCTCCTCGGTTGAATGTATTGTGTCCAGCACTCCATGTTTCTGGAGTCCTTCCTTTCTCCACTGTGAATACTTCTTTAACTCTCATGTTGAGCTCCTCACATACTTCTCAGTCGTTTCTTGTGATCCCTCCTCCTTCCTTCCTCAGCCTGATTACCTGGTCCTTGACTGTTGTTTTCCTCCTGATGTGACTGTACAACAACTTTGGGTCAGAGTTGGTTTTTGCTACTATGTTATTTTCGTATTCTCGTTGGGCCACCCTCCTTACCTGTTCATATTAATTTCTGGCTGTGTGTGTGTGTGTGTGTGTGTACTCACCTATTTGTACTCAACTATTTGTGGTTGCAGGAGTCGAATCCTAGCTCCTGGCCCCGCCTCTTTACTGGTTGCTACTGGGTCCTCTCTCTTCCTGCTCCATGAGCTTTATCAAACCTCGTCTTAAAACTGTGTATGGTTTCCGCCTCCACTACGTCACTTTCTAGGCTATTCCACTGCCTGACAACTCTATGACTGAAGAAATACATCCTAACATCCCTTTGACTCATCTCAGTCTTCAACTTCCAATTGTGACCTCTTATTTCTGTGTCTCCTCCCTGGAACATCCTGTCTTTGTCCACCTTGTCAATTCCGAGCAGTATTTTATATGCCGTTATCATGTCTCCCCTGACCCTCCTGTCCTCCAGTGTCGTCAGGCCGATTTCCCTTAACCTTTCTTCATAGGACATTCCCCTTAGCTCTGGAACTAACCTTGTCGCAAACCTTTGCACTTTCTCTAATTTCTTGACGTGCTTGATCAAGTGCGGGTTCCAAACAGGTGCTGCATACTCCAGTATGGGCCTGACGTCCACGGTGTACAGTGTCTTGAGCGATTCCTTACTAAGGTATCGGAACGCTGTTCTCAGGTTTGTCAGGCGCCCATATGATGCAGCAGTTATCTGGTTGATGTGTGCTTCCAGAGACATACTTGGTGTTATACTCACCCCAAGATCTTTCTCTTTGAGCGAGGTGTGCAGTCTTTGGTCACCTAGCTTATACTCCGTATGCGGTCTTCTGTGCCCTTCCCCGATCTTCATGACTTTGCATTTGGCGGGGTTAAATTCGAGAAGCCAGTTGCTGGACCAGGTGTCCAGTCTGTCCAGGTCTCTTTGAAGTCCTGCCTGATTCTCATCTGATTTAATTCTCCTCATTAACTTCACATCATCTGCGAACAGGGACACTTCTGAGTCTAACCCTTCCATCATGTCGTTCACATATACCAAAAATAGCACTGGTCCTAGGATCGACCCCTGTGGGACCGCGCTCGTCACAGGTGCCCATTGTGATACCTCATCACGTACCATGACTCGTTGTTGCCTCCCTGTCAGGTATTCTCTGATCCACTGCAGTGCCCTTCCTGTTATATGCACCTGATCCTCTAGCTTTTCCACTAATCTCTTTTGAGGAACTGTGTCAAAGGCCTTCTTGCAGTCCAAGAAGATGCAATCAACCCACCCCTCTCTCTCGTGTCTTCCTTTTGTTACTTTATCATAAAACTCCAGAAGGTTTGTGACACAGGATTTGCCTTCCATAAATCCGTGCTGGTTGGCTTTTATACTCTTGTTCCGTTCCAGGTGCTCCACCACTCTCCTGATAATCTTCTCCATAACGTTGCATACTATACACGTCAGTGACACAGGTCTATAGTTTAGTGCCTCTTTTCTGTCTATTTTTTTAAAAATGGGATCTACATTTGCCGTCTTCCATACCTCCGGTAGTTGCCCAGTTTCCAGAGATGTGTTGAAGATTGTGGTAAGTGACACGCACAGCATATCCGCTCCCTCTCTAAGGACCCACGGGAGATGTTGTCCGGTCCCATTGCCTTTGAGGTATCGATGTCTCTTAGCAGCTTCTTCACCTCTTCCTCATTTGTATGCATGTCATCCAACACTTGTTGGTATATTCCTTGCTGGTGTCCCCCTCTGTTCTGTCCCCCCAGAGGCCTTCCTGTCTCCACTGTAAATACTTCCTTAAATGTTATATTGAGCTCCTCATATACTTCTTGATCGTTTCTTGCGAGTTCCCCACCTTCTTTCCTCAGCCTTATCACCTGGTCTTTGACTCTTGTCTTCCTCCTAATGTGGCTATACAGCAGTTTCGGGTCAGACTTGACTTTCGATGCTATGTCGTTCTCGTACTGTCGCTGGGCCTCCCTCCTTATCTGTACATACTCGTTTCTGGCTCTTCTACTAATGTCCTTATTTTCCTGAGTCCTTTGCCTCCTGTACCTTTTCCGTTCTCTGGTGCACTTAGTTTGTGCCTCCCTACACCTTCGGGTAAACCAAGGACTCACTTTGGTCTTCCTATTATTTCTATTTCCCTTGGGAACAAACCTTTCCTCTGCCTCCTTGCACTTTGTTGTTACATATTCCATCATCTCGTTTACTGATTTTTCTACCAGTTCTCTGTCCCACTGAACCTCCTGCAAAAAGTTCCTCATACCTGTGTAGTCCCCCATTTTATAGTTTGGCTTTTCCCATTCAATTCCTGTTACCTTCACCACTTGTAGTTCTACTATATAATCCAAACTCAGAACCACGTGATCGCTAGCTCCAAGGGGCCTCTCATAATTGATGTCCTCAATGTCTGAACTGCTCAGGGTGAACACAAGATCCAGTCTTGCTGCCTCATCCTCCCCTATCTCTCTGGTAGTGTCCCTAACATGTTGATGCATGAGGTTTTCAAGTACCACATCCATCATCTTGGCTCTCCATGCTTTGGGACCCCCATGTGGCTCCAGGTTTTCCCAGTCGATCTCCCTGTGGTTGAAATCGCCCATTACCAGTAACTTTGCTCTGCTCGAGTGAGCTCTTCTTGCCACCTCGGCCAGTGTGTCCACCATCGCTCTGTTGTTTTCTTCGTACTCCTCTCTTGGCCTCCTACAGTTCTGTGGTGGGTTATACATCACTCCAATGACTACTTTATGTTCTCCAGACTGAATTGTACCTACTATGTAGTCCCTTTCTCCAGTCATGTCCATGCCTTCCATTTCCTCAAATCCCCATCGTTTTTTTTATGAGCAGTGCAACCCCTCCTCCCCCTCTACTCCTTCTATCTTTTCTCAGGATCTGATATCCCGGTGGGAAGATTGCATCTGTTATTGTCTCACCGAGTTTCGTTTCTCTGACTGCTATGATGTCTGGGGATTTCTCGCTGATTCTTTCGTACCACTCCTCATATTTACTCGTTATTCAGTCCACGTTTGTGTACCAAACCATCAGCTTCTTTTCTATCACTGTGGTCCTGGGAGAATATTGGGGTTGGGGGAGTGAGAGCCTTGGTGGGGGCCTATGGGGGGGCTGTGGTGTGGGTGGGGTTTGTGATGAGGGGATGGGGTCAGAATGCCCATATGGGGCAGCTGTTGTGGTGAAGTTTGTGATGTGGGGGTTGGTAGCAGAGGGAACAGTGTGTGGGTTCTGGTTTAGATTCCTCAGTTGCGTTGGGATTGGTGCGGTTGGAGTCCTTCGGCGGGAGTTTCTGCGGGGTGTGTTTGCCTTTCCAGTGTGTGTGTGTGTGTGTGTGTGTGTGTGTGTGTGGTGTGTGTGTGTCACATCCAATTTGATTTAAAAACATTTTATTGCTATATAAATATTTTACAGTTGCAGAAGATGAACTTGTTTCTCAAGGTTAAGAAATTTAATTCTGGTGTTGCACAGACAGGACATGGTGACGGGTTTCCCGGAGCTGGGTATTCCAGTGCTTGACCCTCTCAGCATACCCTTCTTGCCCTTCAACGTCACTTGGGACGCCAACAAGTCAGTATCCTCTCATTGCTCCTTAGTTTAATAAATTTGTGTACCTGGTTGTTTGAGCTACTTGATGAGTTCCTCCAGCAACCAGTGAGTGTCTACTTCATTATACTATAACAAATTGAACCTTCGGGCATATAAAGAGAAGAACGAAAATTCTCTCCCTAGCTGGCTTCACTGAAGCCACGTCTAAACTTGGGAATCATCGTAAAAGACAGGAGATAAGATCCCATAAGCAAATCCACTTGAAGGATTGAGTTAAACAGGAGGTGATACAAGAAATATAAAGAAAAAGTTACTTGGACAAGATATAGATATTTGTTGCTGCCAACGGGGTAAGTTATTTGTTGTGATGTAAACCCAGAAACTCGCCTAGATTTTGATTTAGAGAGTACAAATATGGAAGAAAGTAGATACATGTATATAGTAAAGATCATAGAGGAAAGAAAATAAGAAAATGAGAAGCAATGGCCTAAAATACGAGCGGAAGTTGAACTCAGAAATGATTACTCTATGGAAAATACAATCCTGCTGCGGGTTGTTAATGGTATCTAAACTAAACTCATCAATACACAAATAACCCGCACATAAAAGAGAGAAGCTTACGACGACGTTTCGGTCGGTGTGACTTTGTCAATGGTCCAAGTCGGACCGAAACGTCGTCGTAAGCTTCTCTCTTTCATGTGCGGGTGATTTGTGTATCGTTCCAGTCACGGTATTGTGCCTTTTTGTTATTTAAACTCATCAACATGGTTAAATAATCTACTATACAAATAGTAATAGTTTTAAAACTGAGAAGTGTTTGATATAATTCAGGTACAAAGCAAACATAATGTGGAAAATAATTTAGTAAAACTTTTAAATATAAATATTATATTGAACAAGTTTAGTAAATAATGACGTAAAGTAAGGGAAAAATAAAAGTTACACCCATAATTATAATCAACATTTCATTAATATTCAACACAAATGTGGCATAAATATACATAGTACAAAATTAACTAATCAATTGGAAATATAAGCATAATAATTAAGTTTGGAAATAAAAAAAATAGTGAAAAATAATTAGGATGATAATTAAGATGATAAAATGGAGTTTGGATGATCTTAAACTGGTAGAAATTTTTACGATATTTAGTAAGTGTACAGTGCCACTCAAATATATTTTATTAACTTTTTCTACACATATTAAATTCCCTGAATGAGCTAGAAAAAAGACATATTTTAAATCATTACACAAAAAAGGAAGAAAATCTGAAATACAATAAAGTATATTGGTAAAAACCTTGGTAATAAAAACCGACAAGTTGGTTCAGAAGGACACGTAAGAAAACACTGTAACCTTGGTAATAAATACCGACAAGTTGGTTTTAGAAGGAACGTAAGTAAACACTGTAACCTTGGTAATAAATACCGACAAGTGGTTCAGAAGGACACGTAAGTAAACACTGTAACCTTGGTAATAAATACCGACAAGTTGGTTCAGAAGGTCACGTAAGTAAACACTGTAACCTTGGTAATAAATACCGACAAGTTGGTTCAGAAGGACACGTAAGTAAACACTGTAACCTTGGTAATAAATACCGACAAGTTGGTTCAGAAGGACACGTAAGTAAACACTGTAACCTTGGTAATAAATAACGACAAGTTGGTTCAGAAGGACACTAAGTAAACACTGTAACCTTGGTAATAAATACCGACAAGTTGGTTCAGGAAGGTCACGTAAGTAAACACTGTAACCTTTTAATAAATACCGACAAGTTGGTTCAGAAGGGCACGTAAGTAAACACTGTAACCTTGGTAAAAATTTCCGACAAGTTGGTTCAGAAGGACACGTAAGTAAACACTGTAACCTTGGTAATAAATACCGACAAGTTGGATCAGAAGGACACGTAAGTAAACACTGTAACCTTGGTAATAAATACCGACAAGTTGGTTCAGAAGGACACGTAAGTAAACACTGTAACCTTGGTAATAAATACCGACAAGTTGGATCAGAAGGACACGTAAGTAAACACTGTAACCTGGTAATAAATACCGACAAGTTGGGTTCAGAAGGTCACGTAGTAAAAAACTGTAACCTTGGTATAAATACCGACAAGTTTTTCAGAAGGCACGTAAGTAAATTACTGTAACCTTGTTAATAAATACCGACAAGTTGGTTAGAAGGACACGTAAGTAAACACTGTAACCTTGGTAATAATACCGAACAAGTTGGTTCAGAAGGACACGTAAGTAAACACTGTAACCTTGGTAAAAAATACCGACAAGTTGGTTAGAAGGAAAACGTAAGTAAACACTGTAACCTTGGTAATAAATACCGACAAGTTGGTTCAGAAGGTCACGTAAGTAAACACTGTAACCTTGGTAATAAATACCGACAAGTTGGTTCAGAAGGACACGTAAGTAAATACTGTAACCTTGTTAATAAATACCGACAAGTTGGTTTTAAAGGAAAACGTAAGTAAATACTGTAACCTTGTTAATAAATACCGACAAGTTGGTTCAGAAGGTCACGTAAGTAAACACTGTGACATAATTATTAGAAAACGTGTCGGTCCTGGGACCTTGATCACTTCTAACATACACAGGTAGAAAGACACTATATGTAGGCTTAGAGTGAGGTGTGTGTGACGCATGTTGACCTGAGTGAGGTGTGTGTGACGCATGTTGACCTGAGTGAGGTGTGTGTGACGCATGGTGACCTGAGTGAGGTGTGTGTGATGCATGTTGACCTGAGTGAGGTGTGTGTGACGCATGTTGACCTGAGTGAGGTGTATGTGACGCATGTTGACCTGAGTGAGGTGTGTTTTGAGCATGGTGACCTGAGTGAGGTGTGTGTGACGCATGTTGACCTGAGTGAGGTGTATGTGACGCTTTTGGGGCCTGAGTGAGGTGTTTTGTGACGCATGTTGACCTGAGTGAGGTGTGTGTGACGCAAGTTGACCTGAGTGAGGTGTGTGGTGACGCATGTTGACTGAGTGAGGTGTGTGTGACGCTTGGGGACCTGAGTGAGGTGTGTGTGACGCATGTTTTTTCCTGAGTGAGGTGTGTGTGACGCATGGTGACCTGGGGTGAGTGTGTTGTGACGCATGTTGACCTGAGTGAGGTGTGTGTGACGCATGGTGACCTGAGTGAGGTGTGTGTGACGCATGGTGACCTGAGTGAGGTGTGTGTGACGCATGGTGACCTGAGTGAGGTGTGTGTGACGCATGTTGACCTGAGTGAGGTGTGTGTGACGCTTGGTGACCTGAGTGAGGTGTGTGTGACGCATGGTGACCTGAGTGAGGTGTGTGTGACGCATGTTGACCTGAGTGAGGTGTATGTGACGCATGTTGACCTGAATGAGGTGTGTGTGACGCATGGTGACCTGAGTGAGGTGTGTGTGACGCATGGTGACCTGAGTGAGGTGTGTGTGACGCATGTTGACCTGAGTGAGGTGTGTGTGACTCATGGTGACCTGAGTGAGGTGTGTGTGACGCATGGTGACCTGAGTGAGGTGTGTGTGACGCATGGTGACCTGGGGTGAGGTGTTTTGTGACTCATGGTGACCTGAGTGAGGTGTGTGTGACGCATGGTGACCTGAGTGAGGTGTGTGTGACGCATGTTGACCTGAGTGAGGTGTGTGTGACGCATGGTGACATGAGTGAGGTGTCTGTGACGCATGGTGACCTGAGTGAGGTGTGTGTGACGCATGTTGACCTGAGTGAGGTGTGTGTGACGCATGGTGAACTGGTGAGGTGTGTGTGAAAGCAAAGGTGACCTGAGTGAGGTGTGTGTGATGCATGGTGACCTGAGTGAGGTGTGTGTGACGCATGGTGACCTGAGTGAGGCGTGTGTGACGCATGGTAACCAGAGTGAGGTGTGTGTGACGCATGGTGACCTGAGTGAGGTGTGTGTGACGCATGGTGACCTGAGTGAGGTGTGTGTGACGCATGGTGACCTGAGTGAGGTGTGTGTGACGCTTGGTGACCTGAGTGAGGTGTGTGTGACGCATGTTGACCTGAGTGAGGTGTGTGTGACGCATGTTGACCTGAGTGAGGTGTGTGTGATGCATGTTGACCTGAGTGAGGTGTGTGTGACGCATGTTGACCTGAGTGGGGGTGTGTGTGACGCATGGTGACCATGAATGAGGTAAAGAGTGTCGCATGGTGAACTGAGTGAGGTGTGAGTGTCGCATGGTGATCTGAGTGAGGTGAGTGTTGCATGGCGATCTGAGTGAGGTGTGAGTGTCGCATGGTGACCTGAGTGAGGTGTGAGTGTTGCATGGTGACCTGAGTGAGGTGTGAGTGTTGCATGGTGATCTGAGTGAGGTGTGAGTGTTGCATGTTGACCTGAGTGAGGTGTGAGCGTTGCATGGTGATCTGAGTGAGGTGTGAGTGTTGCATGGTGATCTGAGTGAGGTGTGAGTGTTGCATGGTCATCTGAGTGAGGTGTGAGTGTCGCATGGTGACATGAGTGAGGTGGGAGTGATGCATGGTGACCTCAGTGAGGTGTGAGTGACGCAAGGTGACCTGAATGAGGTGTGTGTGACGCATGGTGATCTGAGTGAGGTGTGAGTGTTGCATGGTGATCTGAGTGAGGTGTGAGTGTTGCATGGTGATCTGAGTGAGGTGTGAGCGTTGCATGGTGACCTGAGCGAGGTGGGAGTGATGCATGGTGACCTAAGTGAGGTGGGAGTGATGCATGGTGACCTCAGTGAGGTGTGAGTGACGCATGGTGATCTGAGTGAGGTGTGAGCGTTGCATGGTGATCTGAGTGAGGTGTTGAGTGTTGCATGGTGATCTGAGTGAGGTGTGAGTGATGCAAGGTGACCTGAGTGAGGTGTGTGTGACGCATGGTGATCTGAGTGAGGTGTGTGTGATGCATGGTGACCTCAGTGAGGTTGGAGTAATGCATGGTGACCTCAGTGAGGTGTGAGTGATGCATGGTGACCTGAGTGAGGTGTAAGTGTTGCATGGTGACCTGAGTGAGGTGTGTGTGATGCATGGTGACCTCAGTGAGGT